TACATATTTTTTAAGAACTGACTGTCTCTCCCTGACACCTCAGTGAGAAGCACTTTGAGCTTTGATTGACAGGTTTTTATTTGACAGAATGAAGCGACAGCTGAATGTGTCGACTGAAGGAATCACCCCAGGACAGTTCAAGCCGTTAAGACTCCCAGATTTGGCTCAAAGAGTTTGAGGTCAACTGATGACTCTAACCCGATGCACGTTTTTTAAATCCTTGCTGCAGGTGTTGGTAAATTGTGTCTAATTATGACCCCCACAAGCAAAGCGTAAGCGGGAGTCATATTGTTTTCGTACTGTTTATTAACTAATTAATTAATTAGTTAATTAATTAATTAATTAATAAACATGAAATTTGGCAGGACTGTAGATGAGTCTGACCTACACTGCGACAGCCAACAGTTTTACGATAGACCCCATATTTGAGGAGGGGTCTCCTTTTAAAGAGGGGGTGTCTGCACATGCAAAAATGCTTATAACTCAGAAACTGTTCAACATAGAAGCTTCAGATTTCTTTTGTTCTTTAGCTCTGATGAAGTTCTTTCGATCAGGCCCACCAATCAGTGCTCCCACCCCCGGACCCCCAATTTATCTGAAAAGGGGGTATCTGGACATACAAAAATGGTTATAGCTAAAAAAAACTATTAAATATAGGAGCTTCATATTTCTTTTGTGGTTTAGCTCTGGTGAGGGGCTATCCATCAGATCAACCAACAACCCCTCGCTCTCACCCACCCAAAAAAAAAGACCCCCACCCAAACCACTAAAATTTTTGGATGCATCCTAGTTGCATGACATTTATTAAGCATAAAGACTTCTGAGTTCTGGTGCATTTGTGCGTGCGGGGGTCATTATGTTACTGCTTTTGCGCCCCACCATCCCCCAAACCCCAATTTATCATCTGGACATACAAAAATGGCTTTAACTCAAAAACCATTGAACATAAGAGCTTCAGATTTTCCTTGGTTGTTTAGCTCTGATGAGGGGCTATCCATCAGGTCAACCAACCACCCCAAAAAAAGAAAAACAGTCCCCCACCCAAACCTCTACAACTTTGGGATGCACCTAGTAGCATGACATTTATTAGGAATAAAGACTTCTGAGTTCTGGTGCATTTCTGCGTGTGGGGGGTCATTATGTTACCGCTGTGCGGTATCTAGTTTTATTTGTGCTGGACAGAATCTGGTGCTATTTCCACTGAAGCCGTCTAACTGCAGGGTGGCTCTCTTTAAGGAGATCCACTGAGATTTCTGCAGGGACTTTCACAGAACAGAAGGGTTGCTTATCAAAGAAAACATGCTGAAACTACATGCAAACAACAAAATCACAAATGACACACAGCTGAAAACAAATGTTTACATACACTTTAAAAAGAACATCATTTTTTTCAGCTGGCCTGACATTAAATCAGACAAATCTATTTTTGTTTTAGGTTAGTTAGGATTCACAATTATTTGTTTTAATGAAAATATAGTAAATTTCACATTACAAGGACTTTGAAGACAAAGTTACAAGTGTACTTTGCTTTTAAGCAGTTTTTAAAAACCCAGATGATGGAGACATTTTAAGGCACACCAGTTAAGATATCAGAAAGAGAATCATTCATTCAATCTCTATAACTCTGAAATAAATCCCAAAACAAAAGTAAAAAAGATCTTGTGAAGATGCTCCTGAAGCTGATCAGAGTCAATATTTAGTGAAACAGTTAACATGGACTGAGTCAAACTAATTCAGTCAATATTTAAACAATCAGCAAATAGAACAAGCTGCTGATTTAAAACTCATCAAACACTATCATTGTCCACATACAGTACATGAGATTGTGACTAAAATGAGTAGAAATATCTAATTAATTTGGCGTAATGCTCATTTATGTCTTTTGTAATAAGAATATTTGTAATACAGACAGCTGTTAGGTTGAGTGCATCTGGATAATCTGCAGATTAAGATTAGCWCTTGGTTGTGATTTTGTTAATTTCAGGCATCAAAGCTGTCATGGATGAAGGTCAGTGACAGACTTCTATTTTTTACATTAAATCTGGATTTTACACAAACCATTTAGCCTTCTCTCACAGTTTTTGCCCACCTCTAACAGACATGATTTTAACACTACATCTGCCCAAGTAACACACTTAAAAATACTGCTAAATTTAAAAAGGATGTAAAAAATACATTATCCATAATGAAATATTTAATTGAATCATGAATGATGATTTAATTGGTGAGTTATGATGTGAAATTAACAAATGTTAACATTTGGAATGTTGTAATTATAATTTTCAGTTCTATTTTTGATTTTTTAGTTAG